GGAAGGTTTTGCTACATACAAAGTATCCATGTGCAGAGCGCATTTGGTTGCCACATATTACTGACAGAGAACTTTCCCAGTGAATTTTCCCAGTGATTATGCATTACATCATTGTTCTAGCAATTATGCATACACATCATTATTGCAGTTATGCAGACAAATCATTATTCTAATAATTGTTCAATTTACTATATTAATAGCAATAGCATTTCACTGGTTAAACTCCGTACCAATGCTGAAGGATAGAAAGCCAGAGGCCCAAAACAGGGGGCAGTTGGCTGTAGCATCCTGTTGTTGTAGGCTAGCTGATATCAGGCAGGCAAGGTCATTGCATTAGCCTGGGTAGTTTCCCACATTGCCATGGTAATGCAGAGAAAAGAGATAATGCAGAGAGAAGAGGCACGCAGGCGTCGGAAGGGCAGTGTTCTGCTCAAGGCCTCCACCCGGGCCCCCTCTCTACAGGGATTAACACCTCATTTCTCAGTGGCCGCGGTGACACTGGGCTAAAGTCCAGGCCTGGGGTCAGTGGCCTCTGGCTGAAATGGCTGAAGGCCCCAGGCTTCCACTTAAGGGCCAGCCCTGGGATTGCTGTCAATCAGGGATGCTTTTCATGGCCTGGATGGGGCAGCTCAAGCTTCCATGGGTGGCTGCAGCTGTGCATCCCACTTCAGCACCCCCCAACTCTTGGGGGAGGGCCTGTGCCTGGTATCTAGGACCAGCCCACCCCCAGACACCCCCACATCCCTTGCCTGGGCCTTCCTCCACTTAAGAACCCTCAAGATGGTTTAATGACTGTAAGCAGGAGTGTGGGATTGCGCTTGGTGAGTGAAGTGGCCGTGTGACCCTCACATAACTCCTACTTCCCTGGACTCACCGAGATTCCAGTCCCGATTTTGGTCATAATTTGAGGACTACCTAAAGTTTCAGGGCTTCTTTTTCTCCTCGTCATAGGACGAGAACCAAGGAGGAAAAAATAGAGTCAGTGAACAGCAGGAGAGTTTGCCTCCGAGGGATCTGGGGTGACGGAATCCATGGAGGTTTTGTCTGGGGTGTACTGAGGACCTCCCCTGGTCAGCGGGTGGACTGGAAGACCTTCATGGTCCCTTCCAAGGCTAAGATATTGTGATTCTCTACCATTCTCAAAAGGAAACATTATTCTCCTCTTCTTTCTTTTTCCACCAGCAGGAAAACCAAAGATTCACCTGCAAGTCACCTTTCAAGAGATAGTAGAAATTCAGCCCAAGGCAGCCAGTGCCAGAAAGCATGGAGCCTGGGAAACTCTTGGATCCCCTGTGAGACAGAAGCAGCCACAAAAGAAAACCACACAAGAACCCATGAATGCTCAGAGTGTGGGAAATCCTTTGCTTGCCGGTCCCTCCTTTTGACCCACAGGAAGGTCCATGTGGGAAGTGGATCCAGTGAAGGATTGGAGGGTGAGAAATCCTTCTCTGGAAAAGACATGAAAAAATTCAGAAGCCCCCCCAAACTAAAACCTCATAAATGTGAGGAATGTGACCTATGCTTTGGTCAAAGATCAAACCTTGTTAGACATCAGAAAGTCCACACTGGAGAGAAACCCTATCAGTGTCTGGAATGTGGGAATTTTTTCAGTGAAAAAGCCACCCTCAGAGACCACGAGAGGATTCACACAGGGGAGAAACCTTACAAGTGCTGGGAATGTGGGAGGAGCTTTTCTTGGAAGGCAGGTCTTTGGGCCCATGAGAAGGTTCATGCAGGAATAAAATCTTACAAATGCTTTGAGTGTGGGAAATGTTTCAACCAGAGTTCATCTCTTCGGCATCATGAGAAAACACACAGAGGGGAGAAAAACGAAAAGTGCCTCGAATGTGGGAAATGTTTTATCTCGAAATCAATCCTAGTGCAACATCAGAGACGTCACACCGGAGAGAGACCCTATGAATGCCCAGAATGTGAGAGACGATTTATGTTTCCTTCTCTACTTCAGAGGCACCAGAAGGGGCACAAAGGGGAGAAACCCTATGAATGTGGGGGATGTGAGAAAGGTTTTCTTACACAAAGAGAGCTTCAGGTTCACGAGAGAATCCACACAGGGGAAAAACCATACAAATGTGAGGAGTGTGGAAAGTGCTTTACCCTAAAACACCAACTTGGAAGTCATCAGAGGCTTCACACAGGAGAGAAGCCATACAGATGCGTAGAATGTGGGAAATGTTTTGCTCAAAAGGGAACCCTTTGGACACATCATAAAACCCACACAGGGGAGAAGCCATACAGATGCCTAGAATGTGGGAAATGTTTTGCTCGAAAGGGAAATCTTTCAACACATCATAAAACCCACACAGGTGAGAAGCCATATCAATGCATCGAATGTGGACAATTTTATTCTACCACATCACACCTTAGAAGTCATGTAAAAACTCACACAGGGGAAAGAAATTACAAATGTTTAGACTGTGGGAGAACATTTGCTCATTCATATTCCCTTAGAAACCACAGCCGAATCCATACAGGAGAGAAGCCCCATAAATGCTCAGAGTGCGATAAATGTTTTTCTCAGAAAGGTAGTCTTGTAGTGCATCAGAGAATCCACACTGGAGAGAAACCATACAAATGCTTGGAGTGTGGGAAATGTTTTGCCCAAACTTCATCCCTTCGCAAGCACATCAGAAGTCCCACAGAGGAGTCGCCTTACAAGTGTGCCGAGTGTGAGAAAACCTTTCATAGTAAATCTCACCTCAAAAGGCATCAGAAAGTCCATAGTAGAGAGAAACCCCTTCAGTTGTGAGGAATGTGGAAAACATTTTTTGAAATGTCACATCTTATAATTCACCAGAAACTTCACACAGTCCCAGATGGGAAATCCAACAGATTTTTGGTGTTGGAAAACCTTCACAATGACGAAACCAGCGTGGCATTTTTTGTCCCAGTTTCTTGTGCTTTTTCTACACCAAAGCCTCCATACAGGAGAGATTCCACAAATGCTTCAGCAGAATTCAAAATTTTATTTCTGATTTTTTTACTTTTCATTTTGTATATTAAGATTTTGGGGTCCAGAAGAGAAGAAGGAAACTCAGATAATATGAGGTGATGGAAATGGCTTTGTGATTCCGTTGCACCTAAAATGACAGGGATATCCCATTTTCCTCTTGAATGTGTATTTACCTCCCAGCCAGCCCAGAGCCCAAGGACCTCCTGGTGGTCTCCCATCCAGCGCTGCCGAGCTTTCCTAGAGTGGCCAAGGCTGGCCAGGTATGGCCCCTTAGCTGAGACAAGCACAGTGAAAGGGAGGGTCTCTCTCTGGGTCTGGCAAGATGGGGTTAAGGCAAGTCAGGAGTCCAGTTAAAACTCAGGAGCTTTTCAGAGAAAAACTGCAAAGAGAGAGAGGGTTTGTGCTAAGTGACCGAGAGTCTTTTTGGAGTTGGGCAGGATTAACAAATTCATGTCATCCAGCACAGCAGGCAGAAGCCTAGGGAAAAGGGCATTTGATGATAATTCAGGCCTAATTTTGGAAAACCTTTTGTAAGGAACAAAAATATTAATGGAAAAATTGTATGTCAAAATAATTATGTGAAGGGATGGGATGAAATCAAGAAGGATGTGTTAAGAAGTGGAAATTACAACTATTGTTGGGGAGAATTTCTGTGATTAAAAATGAATGTATTACCTTTTTCCAAACTCTCAAAAGTGCAATCCTTAAAATATGAGATTTAAAAGCCCGATCAATTTTCTTATCAAAAAATAAATAAGCATGCCATCCATAATATAAATCCCAACCCTCAAGTATCAAAATGTCTCTATTTGTTAAATTAATCCAATCACTAATCCAAGTTAATACCACTGCTTCATAGTATAATTTTAAGTTAGGGGCTTTAAGTCCCCCTCTTTCCCGTGCATCTTGCAAAATTTTAAATTTTACCCTAGGTTTTTTCCCCTGCCATATGAATCTATTGATACCTCTTTGCCATTCTTACAAATTTGAACCCTTTTTTAAAATAGGTATCATCTGAAACAAAAAAAGAAACTTGGGGAGAACATTCATTTTTATTGCTGCAATTCTTCCCAATAATGATAATTGTAATTTCTTCCATTCCATCAAATCCTTTTGGACTTTTTTCCATAACTTATCATAATTATTCATATACAATTTAGCATTAGAAGCAGTGATGTCAACACCCAAATA